GTGACCACAAGGCATGATATGAAAAATGCTAAATACTGCCTGTAAGAGCATCTAGTCACCTCTTTGACTTATTTATTATCTTATTTCCACCCACACCTTTGTTTCTTCCTGTTTCCTTTGCTTTCATCTAAGCCTCCTCCTGTAATCCTAATAAATGCACAGCAGTTACACATCATTTTACATCTATGAAGTGCTGACTTTTATATAGAGTTCATCCTGAGATGTAGGAAAGAAAGATTCATGAGCTGTTGTTTTTTATTTGTTTTTTACTTTTGTTCCCACTGGGAAAACCAAGAGCTAATTTACACAATTCTCTGTATATATTCAGCTATAAATTTATTTAAAAATGAGAGCTGAGCAAAAACCTATTCAGCTTTGTATGGCATGAAATCTAGATCACTCAGGAGTTGTGGGGATGGTAAACATCCTTCTGGATTATAGAGCTTCAGTGTTCACATAGGACATTATAGGAAAGAAAGATTCATGAGCTGTTGTTTTTTATTTGTTTTTTACTTTTGTTCCCACTGGGAAAACCAAGAGCTAATTTACACGATTCTCTGTATATAGTCAGCTATAAATTTATTTAAAAATGAGAGCTGAGCAAAAACCTATTCAGCTTTGTATGGCATGAAATCCAGATCACTCAGGAGCTGTGGGGGTGGTAAACATCCTTCTGGATTATAGCGCTTCAGTGTTCACATAAGACATTACCTAGATCAATGATGATGAACCTATGGCACACATGCCACAGCTCGCACACAGAGCCTCTCTGCAGGCACATGAGCCATAAGTCACCGTAGAGAAATACTTACCTGTCCTCCATCCCAGATTTCGGCACTCCCATCTGCTGATGCAGTGGCCCAGCGGAGGGGTGCAATGGCGACCAGTACTGGTCTAACCCAATGGGGGATTGCAGGACCAGTAAGTATTTATTTCTTAATACTGCCCAAAGGGGGGGGGGACACCAAATATTTAACCCTTGCAGTGCAGGAGCAGTTGTTTTTTTCTAAACTAAAACCTCAGTATTCGGGTTTTAATTGCAGTATTGGCACTTTGAAATAAATAAGTTTATTTTGTGTTGTAGTTTGGGCACTCGGGCTCAAAAAGGTTCACCATCACTGACCTAGATGCTTTTAAAAAAACCTCGGGCTCAAAAGGGTTCACCATCACTGAACGAGATACTTTTTAAAAAAACACAGTCACTAAGAAGGGTTTGATGTTCCAAAGTATCAAGCATAAGAGAGATTCAAAGGCGTACTAACAGGCTTACACTCCTTCTGACTAGATACAGATCATCTTGGCCGTGAAGCAGTTCCTCTTCTTACTGCTGCACCAGTGACCACTCTATATGAAAGGGGATGTTTATTCAAAACAGTTTCATATAGAGTGATATTTGGTGTGGGAGCAAGAAGAGGAACTGCATCACTGCCAAATAGAATAAGAAATCCTTGATTTGCACTGATTTAACCAGAAGACTTGTATGTCTCTGCAGTGCACTGTCCAGGTGCCAGCCACTGATGGGCAATTCCAAGTGCTGCGTCTTCCTTCTTAGGATGTGTTCAGATGAACATTTGTTTGGTGGTTTAGTCTGGGTTGGGGGTGGGCTATTTTGCTGTGTTTTACAACAACCAGATGATGCACATGGTATAATGAATGAACCCACTCTTGGATCAAAGCCTACTCATATCTTTTGGGGTCCTTCTTATAGGTCACCATTTTTGGTGCAGGTATGATCACACTGATTTGCTTCAGTTCCTGTGTGTGTGATTGCTCGGATTGAATCAAAGCAGCTGGCTGGCTGGCTGTCCATTTGCTGAAGCTGCTTCTTGAGAAATGGGAAGCTTTCCCTTTTAAGGAAAAGACACTTTGGTCAAGCTAAACAGGAACACTTGAGAACTGCTGTGGTTGATCCTTGCCTGGATCTCCCCAAATGACATGTCACAGGCCAAACTTTAGCCTGATCCAGGCCAGGAGTTCCCTGCCTTGGGTAAATCAGATGTTCTTGGATTGCAACTCCCACAAACCAGCTGGTGGTGGAAGGCTTCTAGGAATTGCAGACCAAGAACAACTGAGTTACCTAAGGTTGGGAACCACTGGCTAGACTGATCTAGACCAGACTAATCTGGCAATCTAGTCACACACATATATTTTGTTTTTAACTAGTCTTGGACTGGATTACCTTTCACTTAACATAGATGACTTCAAACCAAAAAATATTTTCTGACAACCCTTCAAAAAAGTTCCACCTGCTGTAAAGCAGGACATCGAGCCATCTTCATTTGCTAGTACTGTAGGGAATTTGGTGATTCAAAAACCACAATAAATTGGAAATGTATTTCTTAACTGCATGCAGGTTTGGAGTGCATTTGTTACAGGCATCTACAGAATGGTGCAGAAGGAAATATCCCAGACCTGCTGGGAACATGTTTGGCTTCTTTGATGGATTATTTTTGTTCCCTCATACCCATTGGACGGGGAAAGTTTCCACCTCAAGAGGATGGACAAGTAACACTTTCCCCTTACAAGTAACTATTCTTTTATATTTAAAATATTTAGTCCTAAGAAACTAAGGAAAGCTAGTGGTAACAACATCGTGTAAATAAAAAGAAATTATTTGGAACATAACCTACAAAAACAACTAAGAATCTGTGGCTGCAAAAATAATCAAGAAAAGCAACTAAGATTAGTAGTGACTGGCTACCACAGAACAGCATTCCACAGTCAGAGAATAACTCACTGCTATCCTCTAGCAATCAAACATAATCTCTAATGCAATGTTTAATGATATAGATATGGTTTTAACATGAAAATCAAGCAGCAAGATCACTAACTCCAGGACTTGCACCCGCCCACCCAGCAAAGTGTGATGTGGCCAGGTGAGACAATAATTGCACTTTATTGATATTTTCTTATCAAGCTAGGAGGAAATTATACAGAAAATATGTCTGGAGCTATGTAGAATATGATAAGTTTTAAAGAGGGATCTTTCATTGTAAGTCAGGAGAGTACTGGTGTTTACAGTGTACAGATTTTTATAAAGGAAATCAATTGTTGATATGCCTAAGTCAGTATAAAAAGCTGCCAATCAGAGTTTTAGAAGTGGAAATGTTTCTGTGAAGAGCGCAAAAAAGGATAGCAGGAGGTTAAGAAAGTACCATAACAGCAGTTTTAAATTGTCCGGTGTTGTCTGCTTCTTGTATCCAGCCCTGAAACATTTTGGTGGAGGGAATAAATATTTTTAGATTGGTAGGTGAATAAGTAGGTAGACAGACAGATATCTGGATGGATGGATGGCCATACAGATGTGGTGGCTCCTTAGAGAATTAGATTTAAAAGATTTCATATAAGAACTGTGCTTGTTTTGAATCTTCTTGTGGAAGACAAGGACCAGCTACCTGTCATGACAGTTATTGATTGCTTGAAGTATTCACATAAGGCTTTTCACATTGTCTGATTGAAACAGCATTTGCAAACCGATTCTGTTAGTCTCAGCTGGAACCAGAGTTTGGCAATTCGATTCCTCACTGTGCCTCCCAAGAGAAGAGCCAATCTGTGTAGCCTTGGGCAACCTGCAGAGTTCCAGGGCACCCCAGAAGAAGGGAATGGTAAACTATTTCTGAGTACTCTATACAGTCTTGCCCCGCTTAACGATTGCCTCGCTTAACGAGGAAAGCACTTTAAGATGAGGTTTTTGCAATTGCAGTTGTGATCGCAAAATTATGGTTTAAATGGGGGAATTTCACTTAGAGATGATCGGTTCTCTGCTGATCGTCGGGTTTCAGAATGGCCACCAGCTGAAGAAAATGGCCCCCTGCTGTGCTTAGGGACGGATTCCTCGCTGCACAGGCATGGAAAATGGCCGCCGCTATGGAGGGTCTTCGCTGGACGGTGAGTTTTCAGCCCATTGGAACACATTAACTGGGTTTTAATGCGTTTCAATGGGCTTTTTTATTTCATTTGACAACGTTTTCACTCTACAGCGATTTCGCTGGAATGAATTAACATCGTCAAGCGAGGCACCACTGTATCTAGAAAACCCTGGAAAGGGTTGCCATAAATTCCAATTGACTCAATAGCAAGTTGTTTTTATGACATAATGATTTCAGTGTTATCTTTCTTTCTGTAATATGGGAACAATCACTTCAGAGAAGCATTTGCTACAGTGATTGAATATGGCTTACAAAGCAGTTTGCAGGCTTAGCTTGTGAACAGTTACTCTAGGACTCCCACAAACTCCTAGCAATTTTCGGGCATCTCTGGCCTCATCTCCCTTCATGTCCTACTACTACTTAGTGAAAAATAATAGTTTTCAAGTATCTGATTAAAAAATTGTGTTGCAGAAATGTGTCTAATCCATTCCACTACATTCTTAGCAGGTTGGTTTGCTTCTGGGTCCAAAGTGGCCTATGACATGTATCACTAGAACTGCTTTCACCCTGTTAACGTGCAAAATATGAAGTTTTATTTGTACCTATCCTCCAACATTCTTCCTAAGAATGTTAATGCTCAGGAAGGCAAACATGCTTTCATCATATTTGTGAATAGGATTAAACAGCCCATTGAAATATTCTCTTAGTCACTTTTATCAACACAATCCAAAGGAGCATTTTAATTAAAATATAATATAACTGATCACATTTACGTGTGCACACGTGCGTGCAAGCACACACACACCCCAGAACTGTATCATAACTGCATGAGGCAATAATATATAATTATATCCCTTATACTTTCATAGCAGTTTTTGGTTAAAAAAGAAAAGGTAAATAAGTAAATAAAAAGAAACAAAAAATAATAAATTTTATGAGCTGCATGCACAATAAAGTAATGCATCAATTTAACATCCTATTTTAAAAAACACCACTGAGTTTATTTAAATCTTAATATTTCTTCTATCACTTCACATACCTTATACATTCCATGAAAAATAATAAATATTAAATGTATGATATTTGTCAAACATTAAAAAAAATAAAAAAAATTAAAAAAACAAATCAAAATGGTTTTATTTTATATCATTAGACAACCAGGAACATTAACAGGAGCGGCTTAGCATGATTTGAGTAGTCTTAAGTCATTTCTAATTCAAACTTTTTTTAATATGGAAAAAACAACAACTAATCTTCTTGAAAAGAGCTGAGGGACTGGGGGAACAGGCAATGCTGAATGACAAACATACGCAACTGCACACAGAATTTGATAGCTGGTTCAGCTTGAATTTAGGAGTCCTATTCAGTTGTTCTCTCGTGCTTAAGCTCATCAGATTTCGAGGAAAATGGCTAGCTCCTCTCCACTCCGCTGCTGCTTTCTACATATCCTGCTCATGTGAGAGCCAGAGCTTGGACATGATGCATTAAAATTAAAGTGCTGATATTAAACTCATTAGTTTGGTGGGCCAGTGCCAAGAATTGGCTCTTAAAAGTTAATCCTGAAAAAACTGTGTTTCGGATGTTATTTTAACGTTAGGGAAACCACGCAAATCATCGTAGCTTCATTTTGTATAGATGGTACTGGCCTGTGAATATGTGCTCTAAGTAACTCCCCCCCCCCAAAAAAAATTCATGCATGGGATAGTGAAGCCGTTTTTTTCCATTTAGGGCAGTTGGATGAACTGACTGTAGATCCAATAGGAGTTGGTCATCAGTTTCTCAGCGGCCATCTGTGAATGGAAATAGGGAAGCTTAAGTGAATGCTCCCAGGAAGACTAGACATTCAGTCAAACTTCTTACAGTATTATGATAAATGTTTGCAAATGGAAATGGGTAGCTAGCTTTTTATACAGCAATGGTTCCCATCCTTTAGGCTCCCGGTGATTTTAGAATGTATTTCTTGGAAGCCCTTAAGAAAACCATCAACTCCTGGCTTTGTAACTAAACCATCCAGCTGTTGTAGCCCAATTACATTTATCGGGCCAATACTGGGTTAGCTAGAATAGATCTTGTTTCAAAGGAAAGTATATGTGCCTTTCTATTTGTGGAGGGATAGCAGGTACTGACACACAGGAATTCATTCATTCATTCATTCATTCATTCATTCATTCATTCATTCATTCATTCATCCTCTTTCTCCTCAAGCAGATGCAAGGCAGCTTACAATATTAAAATGAACAACATAAAATATAAAACAATATAGAAACTGGAAGGAGGGAAGCATCAGCCCCATTTATAGGAACCCCTTTTAGGCAACCTGCCTGTAGAGAGAGGTCGTTGCCTGCTTGTATAAGGCAAGCAAAGAGGGGACTAGCCAGGTCCTCAGCTTGGGAGCAGTGACAGGAGAAGGCCCTTTCTCAGAGAGGTGGTTTGGGGTTTCGGGGTTTGGTGTCACCGGTATGCTGATGACACCTAACTCTGTCTCTCCTTTCCATCAAATTCCAAGGAAGCTGTCTTAGTTCTAAACCAGTGCCTGATATCAGTAATCGCCTGGATGAAAGCAAACCAATTGAAACTTAATCAGACAAGACGGAGGGGCTCCTGGCCAACTGGAAGAGATACGAAGGAATAGGGATACAACCTGTGCTGAATGGGTTTCAGTCCCCCTGAACTCAGGCTTGCAGCTTGGATGTACTCCTGGATTCATCCCTGAGCCTGGATGCCCAGGTTTCAACAGTGGCCAGGAGTGCATTTGCACAGCTAAAACTGATGCACCAGCTGTGCCCATTCCTGATTTGGCTACAGTGATCCATGCCTTAGTCACCTGCTGCTTGGATTACTGTTACATGCTCTAAGTCTTTGAAGATGAGTTGGAAACTTCAGCTGGTTAGAAATGCAGCAGCTGGACTACTGACTGGGATCAGTTATGGGGAGCATAAAATGTCCCTGCTGCAACAACTGCACTGGCTACGAGTCTGTTTCTGGGCCTAGTTCAAAGTCCTAGTCATTACCTATTAAGCCCTATATGGCTTGGTTTCCTAAAGTACCATATCTTCCCATATGAGTCTTCTTGACACTTAGGATTACCATAGGAGGCCCTCCTCTTGGTCCCAATGCCAGCTCAGGCATTATTGATGGGGACACAAGAGAGGGACTTCTCTGTGGCTGCTCCCAGGTTATGGAATGCTCTCTCTCAACAGGTTGGGTTGTCCCCTTCCTTTTACCTTTCCACCAATAGCTTTTCAGGTAGGTTTTTAAAAATACAAAAATACAATGACTGAGTCCCTGAATGCCATTTTCAGTTGAGATAGTTTTTAATGTTTTATTTGTTTTTAATTATTCAGTGTCTTTAGATTAGTTTTATAGTTTAGTTTTTTAAATTATATTTTATTATGTTTTGAAGTCTTTTTAATACTGTGAGCCGCCTTGAGTCACCTTATCGGGAGAAAGGCAGCCTATAAATAAGATAAATATATAAATAAACGAAATGTTATCATGAAATGAACTTAGTGGTAGGACTGATAAGGAAAAGGTTGGATGAGAGCATGACTGAGGAAAGGCTGAAAGAACTGGGCAGGTTTAGCCTTGAGAAAAGAAGACTGAGGGGTGATATGATAGCACTTCTCAAATATCTGAAAGGCTGTCATGCAGAGGAGGGGCAGGTTCTGTTCTCGATCATCCCAGAGTGCAGGACACACAACAATGGGCTCAGGTTAAAGGAAGTTAGATTTCAGTTGAATATCAGGAAAAAACTTCCTGTTAGAGCAGTACGACAGTGGAACCAGTTACCTTGGGAGTTGGTGAGAGTTCCAACATTTAAAAAAAAACTTAGATAATCACCTGGCAGATATGCTTTGATTGTATTCCTGCATTGAGCAGGAGGTTGGACTTGATGGTCTTCTAGGCCCCTCCCAACTTCAATTTTCTTTGATTCTATGACTGAAAGAAAGGCGTTCTCTGCTGAATTTAAAACTCAGACAGATTTAAAAAAAGGAGATGTGGTATTTTATGTACCTTGGACCTGCATTGTATTGAGCTTTACTTTGAATTGTGCTCAGAGACAGACTGGCGGGTTGTAGTTATGTGAGTCTCAGGTCCAGTTAATAATCCAGCAGTGGCATTTTAAACTCACCGACGGTTCTGATTACTTTCCAGTGAATGCCCTACATAAAGCTTGTTAAAGCAGTGTAACTGGGATGTAACTAAAACATATCCACCGTGCCTAGGTAAGACATCTCCAGCAATGAATGGAGCTGACACACTAGTTTTAATTGTGCAAATGTACTCCTAGCCACTGCTGAGACCTGGGCATGCAGGCTCAGGGATTAATCTAGAAGCACGCCTAAGATGCAAACCCCATCCAGCACAGGCGAAAATCCTATTCCATTAATCTGCCTTCCAATTGACCAGGAACACCTTTGTATTTTTTAAGTACCTGTGTCTTGTCTGGATTAAGATTCAGTTTATTCACCCTCATCCAGTTCATCACTGACACCAGAAACAAATTTAGAACCAAAACAGCCGGGATGGGGACTCATGAATTGAGACTTGCTGTCAAGTACAACACAAGTTACACTGGTGACTTGACTCAGACTCAACTTGGTTTCTTTCCCCCAATGACTCATATTCATGACTCGGAAGCATAGTAGAGTGCGGTAGTGGTAGGGGTAGGTGAGTGGCGTGGTGGTGATGGTCCATTACAGGAGCAGGTAGGCAGAAGGGGAGCCAGGAGCCGAGCGTGCTGCTTCTGGGCATACTCAGACTTCTGAGTGTGCCCAGAAGCAACGGGACTGGCTCCTGGAAAGGAAGCCAAGCTCGCTTCCTTTCTTGCTTCTGAGGACAGCAGCATGCGGCAAGCAGGAGCAGGAAGGCAATGAGGTGGGGAGGAGGAGTCAGACCCACTCCTTCTGAGCATGTGCAGAGGCAACGGCCAGTTATAGGAAAGGCAGCCAGGCCTGCTCCTGTGTGCATGTGCATGCCCCCTCCTGGCTTCTGTCTAAGACTTGGATTCAAGGCCTGAGACTTGATACCAAGACTTGGGACTTGACTTGAGTCTTGGTACCAAAGGCTTACTCAGACATGGGACTCGGGTTTGAAGGCTTACCAACATTCCTGAAAAACAGCTTCCTTGTAAATTAATATTTTAATTAAACTGTTAATAATGTCAATTTAATGAGTTCCTTTTTTCTGTTTTAAACATTAATAGCAATGAGCTGATTTCCCAATTTCTGCTATTTCATAGTAACTAATTATCGGACCTAACATTTCAAGTTCTGTTACAGGCTCTTTATGTAAGCAGGAATCTACACATGAGTAGCAACATCTCTCCTGCAGAATTCTCACTTTCCATGCGTAAAAAATGATGGCAGAAAGGGGAGGCGCTTATGGCAACTAAAGTTGCAATCGGAGACTGCAGGAAGAGTGTGCATCTCATTGCATCAGAAAGGGTTGCTTTTAATGTATCAGTCTTGCTTGCAGTGACCCTTTCATCTGCTGTGAAATCACTCCATCCTGGCCCTCAAATATGGTGGATCAGTTTGGGCATGTTTCAGAGTCAGTCTAGACTGAGCACAATTTCCCATACGTCATATGAGCAGCAGAAAATAGACCGCAGAAGACCCCTCCCCACAACTGGTCCAAAATGCAATTTGTTTCCCTCAGGTAATCAAACCCTGAGGCAGTTGCCTCACTTGCGTCAATATTGCTATGGCTTTGATATAACACATGCTTCAGATTTCCCACAAGGACAATGTATTGATGGTACGTTAACGACATTTTCATAAGGCAAAGTTGAACAGTGAAATTAATAAAATGGCAACGCCCTTGTCATCAGTTTTAATATTTATGTTGTGTAGTGTAGATTCTCCAGAAAAAAGAACCTAAAGGCTCAAATTGCACTAAGATAATACTTTGTATTAATCTTTTCCACCCTCTTTCCTTGTCTGTGTGTGTGAGACACTGATTTTTAAAAGCATCCTTCCTCCTTTCCCATGTTTTGTCCACAGTCTCAGCAGTGTGCCACTCAGATAATATAATGAGCAGATGTGGTACTACTGAACAGGCAGGTAGTCATTTGTCATATGCTTACAGCGAAGATCACGTTCAGAGCCAAGAATTCAAAAAAGCCACCAAGCGATTTGAGTCTGTTCCAGGACGGGCACCTGGATTTTAAAATCATTTTTGAGAGTCTCAGCATTTTGTCAGCTGCTCTCAGAATGGGCAATTAGGTAAAATGGCCACAATCCAGCATGTAAATTCTTTGAAGTCACTGAGCTCAGGATTATTACTTTGTTCTGTTTCCTTATTATGAGCAAATGGGGGTGGGGGAGAGATACTTCAAAAGTAAAGTAGAAAAAATACGCATGGATTTTAAAAGGTTACAGATAAAGACAAAAAAAAGACAGATTTCATAGACCTCAGGGATTCATTGGCAGAACAAAGAGACCAGTGTGTTATTTTTTTTACTACTTCTGTAATCCTTTATTGCTTAGTTCTGCTCACCGGTACTGCAAAATAAAATGATAAAATGTTGAGGCATCAGACGGACAGTACCATTTTAAGAACTCCAGATAGAGAAAAAAAATCATATTTCTGACATTTACCATTGTAAAATATACATGCCTGCCTTATTCCTTGCAAAATATACATATCTGCGTGTACACAGACATAGCACAAATCTGTTTGAAAGGAAAAACCAGCAAAACTAATTTCTCAGGGCAAAACGTTATATCTCAGTTTCTTCTATATTATGATATTCCTCCATTTACTTGGAGTTCTTTATAGAGAAACAAGGGACGTGGTGGCGCTGTGGGCTAAACCGCAGAAGCCTGTGCTGCAGGGTCAGAAGACCAAGCAGTCGTAAGATCGAATCCACGCGACGGAGTGAGCGCCCGTCGCTTGTCCCAGCTCCCACCAACCTAGCGGTTCGAAAGCATGCAAATGCAAGTAGATAAATAGGGACCGCCTCGGTGGGAAGGTAACAGCGTTCCGTGTCTAAGTCGCACTGGCCATGTGACCACAGAAGATTGTCTTCGGACAAAACGCTGGCTCTATGGCTTGGAAACGGGGATGAGCACTGGCCCCTAGAGTCAAACACGACTGGACAAAATTTGTCAAGGGGAACCTTTACCCTTTACCTTTATAGAGAAGCTTGCTCAAAGTGATGTATCTCGCCTGCAGTATGAAATGGACTAGTCTGTTTTACCACATCAGAGTATATTCTGCAGTCTGACACCCAATAGTCTCCTGCAGGGTTGCATTAGCTTTTTAATGGGGTTCTAATATATACCTCGAAAACCCCGGGAGGGGCACCATTATTTAGAACTGATTTGATGGTACATGGTTAATTTAATTGTGAATATGTGAGGTAGTTTAAGATGCCATTCCTAAAACCTTGAGCAATATATTATTTCCTTTTGATTAAATACACAGATTTCCCAAGGATAAGCCAACAGGTCTCTACCAATAGGGAAAGATAAACTCCCCAGGTCCCTATAGAAGCTGAAGGCAATTCTAGTGACTATCTGACATTTCCCTCTGCCCTTTTTTATGTATTTGTCACACTCCTTTCACACATCAATCTCATAAAACATTCCTTGTCTCACACTTTGAAATATTGATATTATCCTACGGCAAAAGATAAAAACACAGCCAAGCAATATAGGTTGGTGATAGAATTATTTGCAATACACAGAAATCTCTACTGATGTTTAGGGTTGGCACAGTATTAAACACATTACTTTTGCTGACAGGCGTTTTCATTTCCCCTTGCCTCACAAGTGAGGGGAATTGGAAAGAAATCTAGTTTTCAATTCGAGGCCCATTCAATAAAAAATGTAAACCTGAAATACAGGCAGGATTGGCAGCACCTAGTTAAATCAAAAAGGACCTTGCTGGAAATTTATTTTCAGAAGTCTTATAAATAAAGAGAGGAAGAAGGGAAATGATCAGCTCTTCAGATTTATGCATCCTTCAAAGAAGTGTTCTTTCAGTGAAGGAACACTGTATAAGTATTTTTGATTTTCAACTATGGTGGGGAAAGAGGGGAAGGGAGACAATATGTAGGCCAGCCAATTTGCGCTCTCTGTAACCAATCATTTAATATTTCAAGGGATTTTCTCATTTTGGAGATAAATAACAGCATAGGACATCATAGATGCTGCTCATTTTAGATATCTTTCTCTGTAAATTAGAAGCCATTACTGCCCCTAATGTTTTAATACTAACCTGAAATATGGGCATATCAGCATATCAGGAAAAAGGAAGAGTCATTGGAAAGTGACTAGAAAGTAAATGTATTACTTCCTGGAAAATATTAATATTAAAAGTACAATAATGCTAGGAAAAACTGAGGACAGTCGGAAAGGAAAAAATACCTAGCATGACATGGATAGGCTCAGTAAAGAAAGCTATGGCCTTTAGTCTGTAAGATCCAAGGAGGGCTGTTGATAATAAAACCTTTTGGAGGTCACCAATTTATAGGATTACTGTAGGTCAGAAGCAATCTGACAGCTACACACATTATAATGATGATTGTATGCCATCAAGTCAATTCTGACTTATGATTACCTTTTCCAGGGTCTTCTAGGAAGAAAATACTCTTAAGTGGTTTACCATTCTCTTCTCCTAGAGGTGCCCTGGCTTGCACATAGCTGCACAGGCTGGCTTTTCTCCCAGGAAGCACAGTGGGAAATCAAACTTCTAACCTCTGGCTCTGCAGCAAGATACCTTAACCACTGAGCTATCCAGCCAGCAGCATTAATACATATACACAATCTTGAAAGTACTTTTTCTCCTATCTATAGTGGAATTTTCTGTCCTTGTAGCCTTGAAGAAGGCATAGTTTCAAAGGAGATATGGGCAACACATTTGTCTGATTAATGCTTCATTATGCAGAGTGAAGAGAGAATAAGAAATCCAGTGGGAAAAGAGGGCGCTCAGTGAGACCAAGACTGACAGATTTATGCATCCCCTAATTTCGATCCTAGCTCAATGAACATCCACAGTGTACCTGCTCATCACTTACCTTCCCATTTTTAAAGGACAGAAATGTGAAATTTGTTGGCATATTCATTGTTCTCTCATGTGCTCAGCAGTCTGAGGTTTTATGAACATCCACCTCAGGGTTCTCTTTGAAAACATTAAAAAACATACATATAAGATCAGCATTATATTAATCAAAGAACAATAATTAGTTATGATTCTCACACTTTCACACTGGTTGAGTAACCATGATACCAGTCTTTCATATTTGACCATATTTATTCAACCATAAAGGAGGGTGGGGGATAACTGACCATAATTTTTCTTAATAGGAGTCGCATTTCTCATAAAGGCTTGCACTGGTAATCTGCATGACCACCTTCTCCCAAAAATGATAAGTTAATGCATATTATGTATGCATTAACTTATTTTACACTTTTAAATTCCAGATCAACTCTTCTCAGAAATGCAGTTTCATCTGGAGTCTCAAAAAGTTAATATCTGATGGCACAGAATTATGTGCGTGGCAGCCCCTGAAATAAACATTTTGTTTTATTACACTGTTCTGATATACCTTCATTAACAATAATGGAAGAGATGTCCGAATTTGTTTTGCAGTAGCTGCTCCAGATTTTTCTACAGTCATCATCATAAGCAGCATAGTATTTATATCCAATAGCCACACAAAGATTAACTGCATATTTTTTTCAGGAGTGAATTACAATGATACTACGAATCTGTTTTTGTATGCCCTTTGTTGAGAAGGATGTAGCAGCATATCATTGACACCAGATAACTTCAGGGTGGGCCATTGTTTCCTTTCAGTTGCTTCGGGCTTACCAATTGGGTAAGATTATTTTTGATGACAGCTCCCAGAATTATCCAAGAATTATCCAGGCAAAATATGGGGAGTTCCAGGCCACAGATCCACATCTGCAGACACCTATAGACAGTTACATAGTTGGACAGTGTCATCAAAGCTACCAACATAAATTTGACCAAACCCTGGGAGGCAGTGGAAGACAGGAGGGCCTGGCATGCTCTGGTCCATGGGGTCACCAAGAGTCGGACACAACAACTAAACAACAACAAACAGACATACAGTATATTTCACTCACTGGCAAAAGGCCCTGTCTTAGAAGCTGCTTGGCTACCTTGGACCTGTTTCTTGTTAAAAAGGCACATCTCAGAGAAAGCAGCACTCAAGGATGATTTTTATGTAAGAGGCAACTCTAAGCACTGGGAATGCATTGCTACCTGTTGAGTGGAGGGGCTGGTGCCAGAGCTCAGTGGCTCAGCATGGAGGTGTTCCAAATGGTTTGATAGGGCCAAGTGCATGTATTCACTAGAAAACTAACCAGTCTCCTGCCCTATCTTCTTGTTTTCTGGTACAGTGGACCCTCGACTTACAGACGGCTTGACTTACAGACTTTTCGAGTTACAGACTTCTCTGGCTGCAAAACTTAGATTCGACTTGCAGCCAGAGAATCGACTTACAGACCAGAAAAAACCCAAAATGGAACAAAAATAGAATAAAAACTGCCAGTTGTAGGCTTAATCAGTTTTCAATGCATTGTAGGTCAATGGAGATTCGACCTACAGACTTTTCGACTTACAGCCACTGTTCCAATACGGATTAATTCCTTAAGTAGAGGGTCCACTGTGCCTTGACAGTGGGGCCAAGGGATGGGATTTTTCTTTTATTACAAATCCCACGATTTCCTATTCTGAGAGTTCAACCTGACTTATAGACACCTAAATGTTGCTCACCTGGGAGAAAAAGCTTCAGCTGGAAGGCTCTGAAGCTTAGCTAGGCTTAGCTTCCTACCCTACCTAGGAGCATTCTTTCTGAACAGAAATTAAGGTGGACGTAGGCCTAGCAAAGCCTCCAAGCCTTCCAGTCCAGCCTTTTCTCCCAGATGAGATACATTTAAGTGCCTGTAAGGTATAAGTTAGGTAGAACTCCCACAATGGAGAATTATGGGATCTGAAGTCATGAAATATGAAAGCCCCAGCCTTAGGGCTCATCATGCCATTTGGAACAAGGCAGGAGAATGGAGCACCATTTTTTTCTGACTCACAAGCCTTGTTTTTACAAAGACTCTGACAGCAGTAGTGCAAATTCCAGGTGAAGGGGTCTTTCTGTCCCAATTCTTCTCTGTCTTAACCAGTGACAACACATATGTCCCCTCCTCCCCTTATTCTCAGGTTTTGGTACCAGAAATCTCAGGGGGGTGGGATAATGCTGATCTAGCAACCCTGGTGACAAGTCAAAAAAGTAGATGACGTGGCAGGACCAGGGGGAAACAAAGAAGAAGACTGGTATGATGGTTAATCACCAGGCAACCAAGTCACACAGTATTGAAAGAGAATTGGGACAAAGCAAACCAAAGGTAGAATCTGAAAGCAGGCAAAAATGCAGAGATCTGGGCAGAAACTGTAGCTCATCTTATTCAGGGCTCCTATTGCTTACTCTTCTAGAGGTTGCTGGAATCAAAGCAAGTACCGTAGAGACATTCAAGGAGCCTTGGGGAGGACTGGGCCGAGAAATGGCTCCTGACATTTTGGCACAAACATTATAAATAACAAGGGAGATGAATGTATTAATCTGTAGCAGACACTTACTGCTTTCCTTCACACCTTGCTCAGCAGGCTAGAAAATGTACTTAGCACGAAGCTTAATATGGAGACATGCTCCTCATGCTAACCCTCTTCACAATTATTTCAGCTACTTCGGAGAGATGACTGATTTTGCACATCTGGTACATTTTGGGATATTTGGTATTAAATCATCAACAACCACCCACCTCCTCTAAAACTATGTGTGGCATAAACTACACATGTCAATGTAATGACAGCCATACAGTTATGCCTTCCATACTTTGCTCCTCTTTGAAACTAGGAAAGGGAGGCAAACCATCTTGAAATCATCAGCATCACAAGTGGGCTATCTGCACAAAAAAACTTCCATGGGAGAAATTTGTCCTTCTCTGAAATAACTGCAAGTTGTGATTTATTGATACATTCAGAATATGAATCTGTCATAGCCAAAACCTTTGCATGAATTCAGTCTCACTGGGTAGAATGGAGACTGCTCTCAGCTAAATGCACATACAGTAACTTTTCCAGCTCATATGCTGAAAGGGATAGCTCATGGACTGGACAGTGGCATCCCCTATCAAAGTGACAAGCCATCTTTGGTTGAAAGAAAGAAAATTCTAGCAAGATCAGGCTTTGTTTATGCCTTTCACTTTTGTCAAGAGAACATGTGAACAATCTGTCCGCATCTAGGCAGCGTAAACCATAGTTTATCATGACAAGAACAAAGCTTATTGACTTTATGTCTGCATACTCTCTTCTCTCTTTCCTTGCCATAGCTTGCAGATGCCCTAGCTTGGCAGAGGAATTCAGCAGTTTTCATTCCTAGTTTCAGTTAACCCATAGGATAGCTTGTTGTTTGAACCTCAAAGAATAGCTATAGTTTGTTTAAACAAGCCATCTTAATAATCTATGGTTTCCAGTTGGCTTGTTTCAAGCAGACCTTAGTCAAGATCACAGCTTGGAAAAGTGGCCATGCTAGTAGGTAGACACTTGAAGCTGTAGTCCAAAATTAACTTTTTCCCATAGCATTAATTAATGAAAAGTAAAAGCTCCTCACTACTATTCTAGAAGCGGAAGGGGGAAAACCTGTGAGCCCTATTGCGGTTCATCACTGCGGTAACAAGTTACAGTGGAGTTGTAATGCAAAAGGAAAAAAAAAAGTAATTTAGACTGGTTCCTGACACGGAAAACAGGTGTTGAGGCTTGGCTCTGGCAGGCTTATTCTGTGGCACTGGTTCTTAGGAGAGCTATGTAATCCCGGTGCTGTACTAACATAATAAGGCTTAGCTAGCTCTCCCTACCCCCCCCCCCATTTTAACAAAATGGGCAGAGATGGGGAACATTTGGATTTGGTTTTTTTAAACTACAAGTCCCAAAATTCTCCAACAAACATCCATAGCCATGGTAGCTGAGGGATTCTGGAAGTTGTTGCAATCACTCCTCTTGATGTCCTCCCCCTGCCCCCCTACTTCTAATCTTTCCAAGAGGCTACACTTGCCATTAAAAGTAAGCAAGAGACCGCATGGCATTTCATCCTCCAGCCTCAAATAAATCACATCATGTTCATGTATGTTCTCTAATCCAGACAGAGAGGTCACTTCTTGGACTGTATCTCAGGAGCTTTGTTACTTGATCAGTAGCCTTGGATGTAATGTCAACTTGTCAGACCTGTTGACAAGGTAGAAAGGATTCAGAAGGGAGAACTACAAAGGCATTAAAGATTTGTGTGTGGAAAGGAAATGAATCTATTTAACTGAGGTAGGTTAAGAGCAGGTAGGCATAAGTATAAGAATGTGACTTAAAGAAATAGGGGGAAAAGAGCAATCAGATTTAGAAATAGGAACATTTGGGAAGGATTTCAGTTAACAAGGCTTTTTGTTGACATTTACTGTAGATGCTCTAACAGAAGCTAAAATGGGATTTAGCACCTTCCCACTCTGCTGTTCAAGCTCTAAAAATGATAGAATATAAAAGTGGAAGATTGTTAAATAAGTATCCTCCTCACCGCAACATATTTTATCCATAGATGTCTTAATAATAATCTTAGAACCGCAGAGCTGGAAGGGACCCTGTGGATCATTGCTATCAGCTCAACAATCTTTAAGAAACCACAAAAGGTTAAAATACTATTGTTTACAGTGATTTTTGTTTTGTTTTCCAGTGAGGACAGGCGATGGTCATGCTGACGCTGACTTAATGAGACACCTCAACCTGTGGGAAAATAATGTGCATTCCATCCAAAATGGGCCTTCAAGTCAGGTCACATGGCTCTCATGCTGTTTGGCAGTGGCATAGTGGAATCAGGGCTTTCAGAAGTGAAGCTCGGAACTTTTTGAGTACATGGGACTGTGATATCACCTGCCACCTTCTCCAGGATTTCCTTCCTCCTGAGCTTACCTGCTATTATGCCAGTAGTGGAAATAGAAAAGAATTTCCCCAGCAACAGTTTTATTCAAATAATACTAGCTATTTCTTCTGGAAGGCAAAATATTGTGTGTGGGAGGAGTTGATCTTGAGTTGGTCTTGAATGGGCAATTCAAAGCCAT